AGAGTGTGGGTGTCTCTTTATTCACAGCCACATTCATACCCACACCCACACCCACACCCACACACATCCACACATACACCCACACCCACACACCCCACTTCCACACCCACACCCCACACCCACACCTGCACCCGCACCCACCAGCACCCACCCACACCTACACCCGCACTCACACCCACACCCACACCCACACCCACACCCACACCCACACCCACACCCGGTATTGTTGCGTTCAATCGATTGATCTTAATTGAATAGAAAGGCTGTCCGTCCAGTGAGAGAAGGATACTAGAAATAGTTTATTTAGTATTTGCAAGAAGCATCTCTATCAATCTAAGGAATATCCTTATTTCTCAATATCGTTCGAATATTTTAATTGAAGACCCGAATAAATCTACTTAGCCAAACTGTGCCAAAGAGTTGCACAGTCCTTGATCGGCACATAATTGTTTGATTTCAAAGCGCCTCGGATGCTTATCAGAGTAACCTTCGACAACGATTTCGTGTTCACTAATCTTATCAAATGAATTTTAGCTTTTCGATATTCATATTCAAACTATGCTTGATAGTTTAAGAATTATCCTAGATTATATCTTCGAATGTTCAATGATGATGTATTCGATCACTGTTTCATTACTTGGGGTGAAATTCATGCAAAAATGACTCAATATTTGTACGTTTTTTTAAAATACGATATGAACTTCCAACAGTACATACATCTTTTATTTTCATTCAATAGTAACCTGATACGTTTCATGAACAAAAGGACTCATTATCTGCTGTTCATGATTTGAATTCTTTCAAATCACAATCATAAATAACAATAAAAAGGAGTAACTTAATAGAGAGATAACAAAATAGTAGACGCAGTCAAGTGAGAATAACATACAAGGTTAACATAAGCGAACGACAATAGATATGTGCAGTCGATTTATTGGTCGATAAAAAGTTCAAATGAGCAACACAGAGACGTTTTTTCTCTATTCTCAAATTGTAGCTAGTTAAATAATGCTACATTCCGAAACTTTAACAAACAAAATGTTTCATTCGAACAAGATCCTTTAGTAAATTTTAATTACCATCAAGATTGATCAGAAATACATTTTAAAAGTCTATTTAATTCACTCCCATTCTTTATCAAATCTTAAAGGGTAGAAAAAACTAAATTTGTTCTTTTTTTCCGCTAGATCATAATAAAATATACTAGGATATGTTATCTGCAAGAAAGAAATTCTCTCTGCAATCAATCATATATCAATTAGGATAAAACACATGCGGCAGAATTAGTCAACTCCCTGAGTAAGGGGGCAATGACAATTACCACGCATTACTTTTTTTAGCCATCGTTTCTTATAAGTTTCTATAAACGATATATCCACCGCCTTGTTGCTGTCAACGTCAGAAGGAACAGAAGAAAAACAAGACATGAAGCTGTGTCGAGTTACTGTATATAACAGACATACCTCAATCTAAATATCACTAACTGTAATATTCTTCTGTTCTTTGTATGTATACATCGATGAGAGAAATGTTGTTCTCTGTTCGGTCAGTACTTTTCTTCTATCTTGTTCACCAAGTTTTGGGTAACAGTTACTCAAAAGATTCAATCACTTGTTATACGACTTATGATGATCAGGAAACAAGAAGTCGTGGATCAAACAGAGTGTTGAGTTATTCATTTTACGAAGCACACACAACACAATACGCAACTTTTGAAGGCGAACAATGTTCAGCTGTTGGTTGCGCTTGTTTCAGCTATCAAGATGTTTGTTCATATTTCCCTGAAACAACAAATCATTTATCACAATGTACACAACAAGATCGACAAAATGGAAACATCAAATGGCATCGTGGATGGACATCCATTGCCAAATGTGAACAAATGCGTCAACAACCTGACAAATATCGTAATCTCACTTGTTGTTACACCAATCTATGTAATGATCAACCAAGAAAAGTTATCACTCTAGTCGAAACAGTCGAGCCAAGTCCATTATTTGATAGTCATATACATTCAACGAAAACATCTACATTTTCTACTCCACATCCGACTCCATTCTACCATAGTCATGTTGATTCGACAAAACTATCTACATTTCCTAGGTCACAAATGATTTCATCATCTGACAAATACTCTCCTTCGAGTCCGTCATGTTCATCTAGCTTCTATTCGAATTGGATTCTGGTCTTGGTTCTTCTTCACATAATTCTCATTGCCTAAGCACTTACGATTATGACTCACGAGGATCAATAGTTCTCTGTCTAACTACATTGTTCATCTTCACGATCTGACTATTTGAAAGTGTGCATTTTTAAAGATGTTTCTTTTTGAACAACTAGTCAAGCGTCTGCTTCTTTTTTCTTTTGTTAAATCCGCAAATAAAAATGTATCTATGAATAAAAATCAATGAATGTTCGACTTTTGAGCGTATATATATCACTGGATAAAACATTTTTAATATTTGATGACTGTTTGTTTGCATTGAATGTATACCGATGCTAGATGGTATAGGTACAAAAATCGACATATGACTATCGATTATAAATACTGTCGTTATCAGTCTTAAACAAAATTTTTTTAAAATCGAGACAACTTTTCAAAATAAAAAGAAACGAATATCAGGTTATGGCTTTTGTATATTTGATCATCTAATAATATCCTTCTATCGTCTAATGTATTTAGTCGAGTTGACTTTCGATTGTTCAGCCTAAAAGTGTATAGCGAAAATGATGACAAGTGTAAAATTTCACTTGTGAAAGAATGGAAGCACTTATGGAATGAGTCGTCGATAGATAAAGAGATAATAGCCTTTGAATTTGCAACATAAATCACTAATCATCTACAGGTATCGGTCAAACAAAAAAATTGATCAGATTAAAAACTGGTCCGACTATCGAATGGATAAAGATTTGAAATTTTTTGTACACTATGCCGCATTACAACTGATTATGGGAGGTTCGAATATTCCTGGTTTAATCGATATCATCGAGAATATGTATCTTATTGATACTGAATGTCGTTTCTCATATATCGTTGCACGTTTGTCGAATTTACAATTTATCAACTGGTATGATACAATAGAAAACTATTGAATAGAATTGGGATGTGGGTGTGGGTTCGGCTGATGTGTTTAAAAAAATACGAGATCTACACTCACCGGCATCCACACCCTTTCTTTATAAGGCTGACCATTGTATAAGCAAAAAATACACTTTTATCGAAAATTCAACATTTAAATCTATTACTGGCACTTTTTTTAAACAAAAACCGATAATGAAAACACATTGTGTACGTCTGCGAAAATGTTTTAGAAATGAGGATAATACTAATAAAAGGATATTAAATATTTAATAGATGAGGCGAGAGATATTCAAAAGAGCGTAACCAATCATAGGAATTTCATTTTATTTGATAATATTAGTTAATTTAATATTACAAAAAGTAATTTTAGCGGTTTTCTTATTTACAAGTTATTATTTTAAGAGAATCACCAACTAGAATGTAATTTTTATTATTTGTGTGTATGCTGCCATAATAAAAATCTATCATCACATTATAGATCTCCACACTGAACACTATAATTATCATTTACAATACCCAGTAGAATTGTTCTAAGAAATATTCACCGATGGTACTTAGAAACGATTATTTATCTTCCGTTTGCTTCTATATAAGATTGTATAGTTTCAATATGTTTATCGCCTTGACAAACATTTTTCTTGTTAGGGAAAATGATTTCCGAACGATTATTTTTAAGTGAGCATCACTTTTGTTCTGTTTAGAAAATCTATTATTTTTAATACAGCGTATTAGGTGATGAAAAAAATGAATTGGAAAAAGGAACTTTTTTTTGTCCGAGGAAGATTGTAATTTTAGGCATGATCTGATAGTTTCAATAATTAATAAATACTTGAGTAATTTTTTCTAATTTGGACAGAAACATTACATATCTATTCTATATAGGATATTTTTAACTGAAAGCAATTCCTACGCAAAAGACTTTTGAATATCAAATCGACATAAACTAAAGTTTTATCAATAGCATGATCTTTTCCCTTTTTTTCCAGCAGAACAAGTATCCATCCTCCAGAACAAATCTCATGTGCATATGACTTCATCACCTAGTGGAGTCATATGTACTTGGCTGATTTTATTAGATTTTGCGAATATAGAATAAGACACGACATTCTTTTTATGAGTCTACTTATCTTCAACAATTAAACTAAATAAACCAAATAATCTAGAATCCAGTATGTTTAGAAAAAATATGTAGCTTAAGAATTGCCTTATAACTACGGAATTAAATATTAACTGCCATCTATTTGTAGACCAAAAACAGAACAGAAAAAATAAACTGTCTTGCTCTTGTTGCAAGCAGAAATCTAAGTGAGACGTGGTTGAAAAACAGGTCGGCAAAGGAAGAAAACGAAAAAAAAAAGACGACAGTTTTCTTTTCTTATATTTCTAATGAAGAAATGAAAGCAAAAAGTGTTCATCGTTTGAACTGGGTTTTTTTCTCCATCGAAGTGAAAAGAACTAGAAGAACAGTGTTGCAGTTGATTTTTTTCAAGATATCTTCTTCCTGATTGACTAATCTGTCATAGCAAGTACAAATCCATATGACGTTTTGCTTAAAAACAAGCTAGGTTACTTTGCTGTTTGGCTAAAGTATATAAAAAAATGTAGACATATAATCTGCATTTAGATTATAGATAGTTAGCGTACCATGAGTAGTATTTGTGCGTGTCAGAGTCAGTATATTGTTTTTTTTCCTAACAAG